AGAAACCTGCTAAATTATTTTTCACCAAAAAGCCCGAAGTGGTGTTTTCTCAGCTTTCTGTAGCTGGTAATGACATTTTTTGAATGAACATAATAAGATTGGGGGAATCCTGATTTAATTAATTTGCTTTCTTTGAATCTTGAAAAAAATTCATAATGAAAAGTTTCTCCTTTTTTTTGGTTGTTATTTTTATGAACTATCACAACTTTAGTTCCCAGGATACTTGGGCATATCCAAAACCCCACTTCCATTTAGAAAAAGGTTCCTCTGTGTGAGCTCTATGCAGTTACTCCATGAAAGGTGAAAACTTGTCCTTAGCAGTTTCAAGGTGGCAGAGAAAAAGGGTCACTGGAGATGCTGAACAGCATCAGAGGTGGGAGATCCCTTTCCACAGCATCCCTGTCACTAACTGCCATCCCAAACTCCTGGCCAGCAGCACCTGCAGCAGTGTCTGCTCTTCCCAGTAGCTCCAGTCATGGCTGAAATGAGCCAATGTGTTCCCTGTCTCACCCACCACTGGGGCTTCATCTGCAGGAACCAACAGGATTGTTGACTTCCAGTTTTTCTTCCAGCCCTGTTTCCAGTTGGTGTATTAAGTAAGTGTCCGAGGCATTGAATGGAAGGGTCACCCACACACACAGTGTCAAAGGGGAGCAGGGTAATCTGAAACTGGAATCTCAGGTGGGAAAGGGGATGTGAAGAAGGAGCTGGAATGGCACCAAGGGAGCAGGGGAAGCACAAGGGAGTTATTCAGGGCTGGCAGGAGGGGACAGGAGGAATTAAAGACCTGGGCAAGAAGGATGGATCTCTGCTGAACCTCAGGCTTTTTCTCCAGTATGATGAAATCTTTAAAGACATGACAGCGAGTGGCACTGTTCTGAATCCCTGTGGATTTAGGTATGGACCTGGTCATCTTGATGCAGCAGTGTGGCTGAGCAGGCTTGGCAGGCCACTGCTCCTGCCAGGCTGTCTCTTGCAGGCAATACCAGCGTGTGTTAAATCCTGCACAAATCCTCTCCTAAAGGTTGTGGGGAAGGAACGATCCTTCCGTGCTCCTGTCAATAATGATGTGACAGCCATGTGGCCTCCAGCTGGGATTGTGAACAAGCTCATGCTTTGGGCAGGGTGTGGGAGAGCCAGCAGCAGGGAATTACAGTCTGGGCACTGTGGGTCTCATCTCAGAGACCTCTCCATGTGGCTGGGGCTGGAGGCCCTGTTGGGATACAAGCAGATCTGTGAGATCCCCAGGAGTTGGTTCATGACCATTAAAGGTAAGTTGCTTCCTCTCCACTGGTGTGTTCTGCCTGGCCAGTGCCAAGCAGCTGCCTGTGGCTCAGGGGTGATGCTGGCACCAGTGGAGCCTCTCTGCCCGTGGCTCCCCAGGGAGATGATCCCTGTGCAGGGCCACACTGGGCAGGAAGTGGCTCCTCTCTTTGTGACAGTGCCTCGTGTCCTGTTACAGCGCCGCAGCCTGGCTTGGGTTACGGGTGTGCAGTGTCAAGTGATTGGCATCAGCACTGTGCTTCTCCAGCCTAACTCATTGCTCCAAAAGCCCTTTTCCAGCCCCGTGCCCTATCAAGTCTGGTTCTTTCCCAGAAATGAGTGCATGGAGGGTGGGTGGACAGGCTGGAAGCAGCTGGCAGGGTCTCACACACCCTGGAAGGAGGCTGAGCACCGCAGGGACAGACAGCAACCAAACAGAAATGAGCTGCTCCTCCCCACAGCCCTATGAGAAATCACTGCAATCATCAAACTGCCCTGAACTTCTCCTGCTATGCTGCCTAATCCATCAGGAGAGCCAGCCAGCGCTGTTTGACAGCTCTGGAAGCAGCTGAGGGGAACACCCACAGAAGCCCACTGAGAGTCACCTCAGAAAGGGGTGGCAGCAGCTTTCCTGCTGTGGGAAATGCTGTGCAGAAAGAAATACTTCCTGCCAGTCCTTCCATGGGTCCTGCTGGAGCCTGGTTTCCCCCCCTCAGGCTTTCATCTGGGCTCAGAACAGACGCCCGTAAGCAGAGAAGCAGCCTAATTTATTTATGGTGTGCATTAACATTTATTCAGCTGGTGGCTGTGTGGGGAGAGGTGGCAACCTGAGAGGGGCCAGCCATTCCCTGCTGCCAGCTGATGTGGGGCTGCTCCCTGCAGCCACAGACTCCTCCAGAATGTGGAGCTGAACGAATGTGGTGCTGTTTTACTAAGGGGGGAGGAAAAGATGAGTGTCCTGCTCCCACGAGAGCCAGGAAACTCCACTGAGGATGGCAGAGCAGCTGGAAAGCATATCAAACTCTGCTAGGAACAGAGCCAGGGGAGGGTATCTTGGGGTTTTAAGTCAGTTTCATTGTAGAATTCCCTTTGGTCATCTCTCCTCATCCCTCTGCGCTCACCACAGTGAAGAATACACAGTGGTAGGCAACATATTTGGTGATCAAAGCAATTTCAGCAGGCCAAATGTGACACCAGAGCCTTCCCCAGCCATCAACAGCCATGTGATGAGGCTGTGTCCTGTGAGGGCCTTCACACTATGCCCTGGAGGTCCCCCAGAGTGAACCTCCACCTTCACCATCCAGGTGCTTTCCTGTGCACAGCCTGAAGCTGCTGCTGTGTTCCAGCCTCAGCCCAACAATTTTAAATATCCCTCTTCAGGGTCTCCCCTGAGGTGAGTTTAATATTCCCAATAAGTCCCTGTTGATACTGGGGACACCTTGGCCCTCAGGTAGCACTTTTGTACCCACAGTTGGCACCCCTGTCATGTTAAGCCAGTATTACTGTAGAAAAAGTATCTTTAGAAAGGGAAACCAAAGGCCTTGTTCATTTAGAAATAATATTTAGACACCTGTGTGCATTGGAGCCATCATAACCCAGAGAGCTTTAAATGAGTGGATGCCTGTGTGCTGGGAATTTGGGAGTCACTGCTCTCACTTCTTGGAGGTCTGGCAGCGTACACAGGCTGAGGATCCAGCCTGATTGCATGGGAGGAAAATAGAAATATGAAAAGTCTTGTCAGCTCCAAACATCCCTCAGCAGTGTTGTAATCACATAATCAAGGCCAGCTTGGCTTGGTGTGATTTGTTTCATTATGAAACATAATTCTCCCTGGAATTTTAGTTCTTGCTTGCCCTCTATCCCCAAATGTGCCAGCTCACAGCAGAAATTAATGCTGGGGGAGGGAGGATCCGAGTGGGAAAGGGACCAAGACATTTAAATATTGGTTTACACGTGCTGAGTGTCTTTTGCTGAATTAGCGGGTGGGTTTCAAGTGCTGCCAAGCAAAATCCCTCTGGATGTGCTCATGCCAGGGGCTGGGCTGGCCAAGAGGCACTGATTTGTGCAGGGAATCAGAGCTCAATCTGTGTTTCAGTAGTGGCAGGGAAATAGCAGGCAGCTGCTTTACTCCTCCTGAGGATTTGGCCCAGGGACATAGAGTCCTCATTTCAGGTTAGCTGGAATTTGGTCAGAGAGGTCCCAACCCTGGTGAATTTGTTTTTGAGGTGTGTTCATACAAAAAAATGTGGAATATGAAATTCTGTGTTGAAAAGTGCTTATTTGAGAGCTCTGTTTGTTTCCAAGGCAGTCTGTCAGCCTTTCCCTGCAGTGGCTTTTGTGGCACAGGATTGAGGGGCGCTCCCTGTGCCATGGCACCATTAGATCCCCCTCTGGAATTCTGGTGGCTGGAGCCCTGGGTTTCCTGCACCCATGGGTGCCAGCCTGCAAATCTGCTTGGCTTTAATCCCGTCGTGAGCCCCCAGGTTCATTTTTACACATCTCTGTAGGGCTGTTTACCTGGAACCTGCAGCCCTCCTGCTCCTGACAGGATGTGCCAGTGTCAGTGCACAGCCAAAGGAATGTGCACTGCCTTGGAGGCAGGAGGAGTTTGTCTGTACTAACATCCCTGTGTGCACCCAAAATTCCCACACCTCATCCTTTTGCTTCTTTATCATGTGTCCTTCCATCTCCAGAAGTGACTGCCACAGTTCAAACCCCTGCTTGGCACCCACCCACCCTGCAGCACGCAGGCCACAAACAGCCAAATTTCTGCTCTGCCATTATCCTCATGTTTCATTTCTTGGGAGTGAATTGACATAAACAGTGGCTTTGTTTAGCACTAAATACAGTCCCTGCCATCCCACTTCTCCCCAGGTGAAGCTGGCCTCTCTGAACACTGCTCCAGGCCACTCCACATAGATAAACCTCCAGCCTTGGGCAAAGGGAGTCACTTCTCAGGGACAAATAAACCACAGTGGCAGTTCATAGCCACCAAAGACAATCTCTGATCAAGTATAAGATCCCTAAGGAAAAGCACACACAGTCTGTTCCTTCCCAATTAAACCATCAACCAGGTAAATCCATAGCTCTCAGGTGGGAGAGCTGGCAGGCTCGGACACCCCAAAAACTGCTTGTGTTAGCCCAGACAACCTCCAACTTCTTACCCAGGAAATAACTGGGGGAGATGATTTCTCACATGATTTATGCTTGCTCTGCCCACCCCAGAGGCCACATTTTCACCTGGGACACTTGGATCTGCTGAGATCAGGAATAACTGTCATTGATACCTAAAGGTGCTGAACCCAAACAAGCTGCCTCTCAGATTGTGCACAAACACCCATCCTGCCCATTCCCTGCACTTCCAAAGAGCCAAAGGGCATGGAATTTTCATGGTTCACTAAGTAGTTAGAAGAGGATAATCATTAACCTGCTGAGGACAGTCTTTCTTTTGTGAGGCCCTTTATCAGGTGATCTTGTTAACAGACCTGGGGAGGATCTGGCTAAGGGAAGCAATGTTCTGTTCCCACAAAATCCCAGCTGTCCCCAGTGTGGGAGGTGTCAGCACAGATGTGAAGTGTCTTTTGGCTGCCAGGTCAGGCCAGCCTGTTGCGTATGGAACTCTGGATTCACGTGGCTTTGACTGAGTTCCAGCCTAAAGCTCCCCAACATCCACATCCAGCTCTCCAGAGGTGCCTTTGCCTTGGGAAACTTTGGATATGTTTGCAGGCACGACTCACCATACAAGTCCTTTGCACTCAGCTTGGAGGCTCCCTCGGCTTTGCCCATGCTGCCACTGAAAAAGGAAGAAGGTACAAATCAACCATCAGCTCCCAAATATTTTTAACATCAGTTTTCACAGAGCAGCTCTGCAGTGCCCAGAGGGACCAGCCCTTCCCTTCTCTGCAAAGCATTTCCTTGTGGGCCGTGCCGGCGGCTCCAGTGCAACCCTACCCGTTATCCACACCACAGGCACATGTCACTGAACCCAGCGCTGGAAACAGGACACGGAGCAGCCCAGCCAGGCCTGTCCCCACTAGAGTTACCTTCACAGTGTCCCCTGGAAGAACAGCACTCCGGAGGGGCTGGGTTAAGGACAGCAGCTCCCAGTGTGCCGTAAGTGGGAGTTACAGGGAGACCCCCTCCATGTTATCCCTGAGTCCACCTGAACCTGAGGCAGTACAGGAGCCAAGGTGATGATCCCTTCTCAATGGACATGTTGGACATGTACCGCTTGAAGGCAGGCACTTGGATATAGAACATATCCCATGTAAGGGAAGGTGGAATTGTGTGAAAACAGTTGAGTTTTGGGGTGTCAAGTCTCTAAGCAGCACATGTAGGGCCACCCCCTGTACATGGGTCATGGGAAGGAATGAGCACCCAGGAGATAACAAAGTTTTCTCTGGCAGAGGAGGAGCCAAGTGGGATCTGAGGTGCTGTGGTTGGGCTGTCCTGCACAGAGCAGTGAGCCCATGCGTGCCCAGGGGCTGCTTTGTGCTCTGTCACCATGTCCCCCTGAGGGCAGGCCGTGGTTCGGGTGCTCATACCCAGTGCAGGAAGGAGGGAGAGAGCTGGTGGCTCTGGCTCAGCTGGGAGGTTGCCATGGGCTGCTGGTGGAGAGGCTCCTGATGTCCCTCTGCTCTCTCCACCTAATGTGCCATTATCAAACCCCAGTGCACAGGGCAGGTGATGTGTGAGGCAGTTTCCAGCTTGTGAGGTGCCCAGGAGGGGTGAAACAAACACTAGGGACTTTGGGGATGAGTAGGACTGCTTGGAGTATCCTGAACGGTAGGAAGGTGCAGGGAGATCCTTACTTTGACGAGCCAGGGTTGCAGTTGAGGGATCCCTTGTGACTCATGTTTCTTCACAGGCCAGGCAACTGCAGCAGAAGCACAAGAGACAGGATCAGTGGTTATAGAACAGGCTCTCAGGTGATTTATCTGTGTGCATCCTGCCCTCCCTACCTCCAAGCTGGGGTCTCCAAGCAGATGAAGCAGTCAGGTGAGTACAAGGGTGTTTCCTCCTTGTTCTCAGTCACCTCTCACTGCTCCGACCTAGGCTGAAGGTGACACATCCCAGGACGCTTTTTCAAAACCTATTTCCACCTCTCCCTCTTGCTCTTCCATTCCAGGTACACCCCAACTTTGTGACATTCCAACACATCTTTTTCCAGCAGCACTGTCCTGCCTAAGGTTAAACAGGGACTGAGGTGCCCTTTGCCTCCATGGTCTGTTCCAGATGCCTGTGCCCATGTGCTTATGGCTGTGTCCCAGGTCATTTTTCATGAGTGCCATTAGCTTTTGTTATGTGGTAATTTTAAGCTCTACGCCAGCTGTTAAATTATCTTTACGAGGGGATTGACCACATAAAGAAAAATGGGATAACTGAATGCTGCTCCACCGGCAGCTCAGGGATGAAGGAAAATGTACTGCGGTGAGTGGTTAGTGAAAGGCAGACTGGATCAGCACAGATCATTTTCCTTTTCTTTCCAGTGAAATTAGAATGTGGGAGAAGATGTGAGTGAGATCCAGGCACTGTTCTGACTGCAGAACTGCCAAGGGAAGAGAGACAAATCCTGAAAACAAGATATAATAAGATCTCAGGGAATTATTTGTTTTGGTATCCAAGCTCTTCACCTCTGCTGCATGTGTGAGCTGAAGGGAAGCCAAGGCAATGTCCTAAAATTTTAGTAAGTCTCTTTTGAAAAGTTTAGGGGCACTTCTGTGCCTGGGTCAGACCCTGCTTACCTCATGATAAGGTTGTCAGAATTCAAAGGTTTGGCTTTGAAATACTTGTTGCTGGCCTAAAGGAAAAAATTCCTCAGTGTCCTCAGTGGGATTTCCTGCAAAGGAACTGCTGAGTGTGCTTGGCATGTGCCAAGGGCTGCCATGGCAGCCGTGGGCAGGCAGTGGAGCTTCCTCCAAGGGTTTGTCTTCACTGAATCTAGGCTAAAGTGTGTGTAATCCCCAGGGAATACTTTGGAGTCATCCCTGACACCTGGGATTTCCCCTCTGGAGGCTGACTACCTGCTGTAGGGCTTGTTGTATCATCAGCAGAGCTGCCCTAGATTCCTTACGTATCCGCATTTATTCCTCGTGTTGGAACACTTGTGGTATTTTGCTCTGTGTGTTTCACCCTGAGGTGAGGGCAGAGAGAGTGTTCTCACTGATCTTATCAGAACTGTCAGTGGGATGTCAGAGAGATGCATTTATGAGGATGCTGGTGAAGTACTTGGGTGTACACAGACTGCATGGAGAACACCAGCATGTTTTGGGCTCAGCCTTACAACTTTCAGCCTGTTTCCTGTCACAGTAACACACTCAGCACAAACACTGCTAGAAAGGACTCTCAAGTGCATTTTAGTAGCTAGGATGTTAAATTCCCCCTTTTTTGTCTCTCTTGTGGTTGATACTGAAATCTCTATGCACACCTATAAGAGATATAAATCCATAATCACATTAGAATAGAAACTTGCTGGTCTGCCAAGCCCTCTGAGTGTAATAAAACCCATCTCTGTGCCTAAGCTTGGATACCTGTGAATTTTTCCTCTGTTAATAGCTGTCTGCCGGTTTCCTTTTACATTCCTCAAACTGTTCCTATCTCCTGGATCTCTTTGTGCATTAGCATAAGATACCTGGAAAAGAGAACTTGGGCTCTTAAAACCCCCGCTCTGTTCTGTTTACTCTGCACCACCCAATCACTTGAGTCCCACATGTGATGATAGCTGGGAGTGTTTCTGCATATTAATGTCATATTTCTGGCTCCCTTTTTCTTACTGCCCCAGGGCCATGTCCTAATGTACTGACATCCAGGTTACTCCAGCAGGAATGTGTCACCAGGTTTGGCCCATGGAGCTCAGAACTGTCCCAGCCCCATCTGTGAAGCACCAGGAGGAACCAGGGATCCAGCTAAGGTCACCCTGGTTTTTATTTCTCCTTCCTATGTTGCATCCAAAAAATAAACCTCTGGGATCTGCTCTTTGAGGAGCCCATCTGGGGCAACCCTGAGTGGCTGCCAGAGGTGCAGACTCCATGGCAGTGGCAGAGGAGTCTGGCTTCGTGGGTGAAGCAGGAACCAGCCCTGAATTCTTCAGCTCATGGTTATTCATGATTAATAAAGTCCTGATGGGATCAGCTGGCATCCCCAAATGATAAGCTAACCTGGATGGCTTCATCTCTTCCAGGGTGCCTGTGTCCCAAAGAGGCCATGAAACTGGAAATGGTGCACACACCTGCCAAGTCGGCAGGTCCTTATCATGCTGGGCTCCCTTTTCTTTATTTATTCCTGCTATTTTCCTATTTGCCCTTTGCTCAGCTCTCCCCGCTGCATTCAGGCCATGGCCGTGCTCAGCCTTGTGCTGGACACAGCAAAGGTGTGGTGTGGTGCTGGCCAAGTGAAACCAGGATGGAGCCTCATGCCAAAGCTTTTAATTCAGCCTTAATTGCCGGATATTAATTGAATCTGAACTGGAAGACTGCAAGGGGGAAGGGCACATTCCTAAGGGGTTGGAGACTTTCTAATGAATCTGCTAAATCAAGAGGCAGCTGGGCCTGTGAAAGGTGAAGGAGGGCTAAGAGCACTTCACCTGAAATGTGGACAGAACCAAGATGCGAGAGATGAAGCTGTGGGCTGGCCTTCCCTAGGTTCTCTCTCCCCTTGGGAGCATCCTTAAGAGCTCCCACAGTCTGCAGCCTCAGCCAGATGTTGTCTTCTCCCTGCCCTGATTAGAGGGTTCTGATCTCCCCCTTATCTCCCAGCAGGTGTGGCTGCTGCCTCCTCCTTCTCCAGCAGGAGCAGCGTAGGAAGGAAGGCGAGACCCAAATGTCACCACGCAGTGTGTGGCTGTGCAGGTATTAATTTTGAGTCAGCCTAATCAAAGCCAATTTCAAGACCATCTCCCACCCTTTTGCTGGTGCAGGGCAGAGTCTCTGCTTGGGTCACCAAGCAAGGCAGCTGAGCCTTGCACAAGAGCCTGGTATGGAATGAGACATGGACTCCAGGAGCTAAGCCAGGCTCAAATTCAGTCTTCTGCCACTGGAGAAACTAGAGGGAAGCTAAACTGCATGGCTAAAGCCTAGCACCTTGATCTGGCGCAGGCCAGGAAGTCCCAGAGGGACTTAGGGAGGCTAGCACAAATCAGTGCTGAAGGCCATCAAGGTGGGTGAAGCCATGTTGTACTCTAAAGCACAGGAAGCCCCACTCCCTGACTTTCCGGCCAGTCTTATCCTTGGAGGTCAAATATCCTCCCAAAGACACATGGAGCCGTGACAGGAGCCTGGCATTGTCTGCATCACATTTCTGTACTTTTATAGCAAATGGAAGCTGGCCATGCATTGTTTTGGCTTTCTCTGAGTCTCTTTGAAGAGGGAGCTGTGACATTGATCCCTCTTCTCCAAGGGTGGAGAAGCACTTTGTGAAGGGAAAAAGTAATATCTCTTTCTCCTCTCTGGGCTGATCTCTGTTATTGTTTTACTCTATTTTTATTAGGTATAGTTCTCCCTTATCTGCTGTGGTCAGACTTCTTATAGGGCATGGAAAGGACATGAAAAATTCTGGATTCTGGGTAAAGACTGGACAATGTGCAAATGTGAAATACTAGTGGGGTTTTTAGGGCAATTATTATTATTATCATCACTGTTAATAACAGCAGCATCTGGTGTTTGTGGGTTTTTCTCTTCATGGGTCTAAGACCTTTAAGACTGAGACTGGGTTTGTTGGTATCAGAGAATATTAGGATGTGATTGTAGCAGCAAGGATTTATGGTGGTCAGAACAGAACAGTTTTTGCTGGAACTGTAGAAAAACATGGCAAAACCCCCAAAAACCCTATACTAAGTGTTCTAGGAGTAACAGCAAGTTTTTCCAAGCATATTCTAACCCTTGCCTGTGTTTCCATCAGTCATCCCACTGAAATCTGCCTGGGGCAACAGGACTTCCGAATTCCCCATCAGCCATGCTGAAGGGAATCTCTGCACAAAGAGGTGATGGGGCTTGAGCACCGGGGAGATCCCTGGGATGGAAATGCCCCCTGGGATCCTGCCTGGGGTGAGGGGTTCAATGTAGCCCTGCTGTCTGTGTGTGTATCCCATGCCAGGGGGATGGGCCAGGCAGAAATGCTGGACTGGCAGCAGCCTTGGCAGTAACATAAAGCGTCAGGAAGAAACATGAGCTGGCCACCACACGATGTTATCTCTCAGACTTCTCAAGCCCACAAAAGCTGTCTGTTAG